TATATTTTGTTTTATTTAATCTGTTTATCATTATAAATTTTAATGTAAACTGTTGTTCAATAACACAGAATGCTTAACACGTTTGTCGTTTGAGAAGTAATTAATCACGTATTACCACATGCAGTGTGCACTTTTGCTAGTTCAATCAAGTGTAAGAACTATGTTATCAAATGGTTGCGCGAAACACCTGGTGCATAATCGTTAATTTCCTCTCGTGAACAATGAGCAGGAGCAAGATTATGGGTATTACCTTAAGAGTAAAAGTAAACGAGTGCAAAATCGGTGCTCCTAGATCGATAATGTGGAACAAATCTATCAGGGAAAGAAAGAAGCAAAGAAAAGGGAAACTCGCTGGGAGGAGTCCACTTTCGTTGAATAATTAAGCGGAGATTCAGAAACTGGATACGGCACGACACATGCAGGTAGATAGGTACACAGTGGTGTTGGTGATGTAATGTGTATCGGAAATCTTAGATAATGTGCGTGCAAAGGCAATTAGCAGTTGAACGACCGAAAGCGTGAGGACAGTGTGGGCGGCCGGTTGCAACGTTGGAGATGGCCGAGGAAAGGTGGCGGTGCAGAGGATGGCCAAGAGTCGAGCCCGAGGCGATGGCGTGCATACATATTCCGGGGTTTGTTGCACCTATCCTCTGGTAATTCTAATGGACCCCGAGGTCTGGTGTCGCGAGACGCGTGAATGAAGTGGCGCGCGTGGGCAGCCGACTTCCCTTTCTCGTTGCATTTGCATATAACATGTAGGAACCCGTTCGCAAAGACGCCCACTCACCCACATGGTTTAACATGAATGAACTGCGAGTGCAGAGTGCACATGACCGCTCACGACCCACAGGGTTCCGCCCGCGGCCTCACCATTCCTCAGGAACCTCAATGGACCGACTACAAACTCATACCATTTTGTCGTTCCGCCATATCTCCGAACCAAAACTGAAAGAGAAAGATGAAAACGGCAACACTCACACACGAAAAAAACAGTCACAACGATTCCCCTAGTAGTAGTAACCCAGTTCTGGAAACATGTTCTCTCTACAAATTTGGAGGTGTGACGCCTCGCATTTTGCCATAAGTATTATGCAAAATTGTTCCAAACTAGTCTAGACTTTTGTAGGAGATCTACAGGCCAATGATATTTTGCGTTTCTGTCGCTTCTGTAATTTAACATCATTTGTTACAAAAAAAGTAAGAAAACAAAATAATACAAACTTTTTTTTATCATACTTACATCAAATGATTTAAAGTGAACTAGGATTTCAGGTGCATAATAGTGGGATTGTTTTAAATCCAATACAAAAATGTGTCACAATACGATGCAATTGCTGGCGTTCAAATATCCTACTAAAAAATCTTACGTAAGGGCCAAAAGGGTACAGAAATGGGGTAATAGTAAAAAAAAGTATATTACCAAATTACACCTACATAATACACACAAGTTACTTTGTAGAAAGACCGAAAGAGAAAGACAAAAACAGCATCACTCAAAAAAAGGACAACAGTCTCAGTGATTCCCACTAGTAGTAGTAACCCAGTTCTGGAAACATGTTCTCTACAAATTTGGAGGTGTGACGCCGCGCATTTTCCATAAGCGTTATGCAAAATTGCTCCAAACAAGTCTAGACTCTTGGCGGCGCTTAAGGTTGAATCATGAGCGCTTCCAAAGAGAGCGCTGCCTGAATCACCTCCATCCCAAATCCAAGCCCTAATTGATCTGCTGGAGTGTCAAGGTAAATGGAGGCGGTCTCTTCCCTTTTTTGTTTTGATCTCATAAAATCTTACCTGCTACAATTTACCTGAACCACCCCCAAAAAAAGGAAACAAAACAAATGGAATGTGTACATTAAAGCCGATAATGTTAAGCAATTCAAGGTTTGTCGCTTCGCTCCATTCACGAGTCTCTCGTAGCGTCTAAGAAGGAAGGTATCAGTTTTGGAGAGTGGCGATGTGTGTACTCTCCGAAAGGCGCTTTGACGATGCTTTCATAATTTTTAAATCAAACACAGACAAACGGGCTCCGTTCAACTTTTTAACCGAGACAACAGAAATACCGAAACTCGATAACAATTAAATTTGCAAACAGACTCGCGTCATTTCCAGAAACGTTTCTAAATATTGGCGGTCGATGGAAAGCGCAGGAAATCTGCCTAACAAAACATTGCGTTTCGATGCTCTTTACATAGCGGATTAGCCAAGACGATTTACTAATAGCTAAGAAGAGTATTTTCAAATCTTAATGATTGTAAATTGATGTTTGACAGCTTACGAAACCGTAATGAACAAATATAATTGTAGCGTAACCTTAACAGTACCATAATTCTACAATTATTTTGCAATCAATTACGAATTGTAATGAAAACCTCTGAACAGCAGTGACAATTAGTAATATTAATAATTCATAAATAAATACACACAGTAAATTTTGATAGTTGATCTTTGTGCAATCATTATATTTGACAATTTCATACAGTACTAACAACTACTGTCAACTTGTTATTGACAGACTAATGATAGACAAACTGAATTATTTGACAATATGTGATATTATTGTCAACTCTAAATTAAAATAATATGAAAAAAAAATTCTTTAAAATATTCATTAGTATAAAATGAACTAAATATTAATGAAAACAAAAGCAAAACGTGCGAACAGTGAAAGTTGACTAACCCTTTTCGGTCATTCAAAAGCTGCTTCAGATTAGATCTACGAAAAGAATGCGCAGCATTCTTTGTGCATGTACGAGAGGACGAGGCTTTTCGCATACCCACCACGTGAAGTATTCTGACCTTTTTCAATTAAGACCGTGAGAACGGAACCCCCGTTGCAGATTCTTTGCCGATGATATGTTTCATCCACGAAACTGAACCCGAGTCCAGAAAAGACCGCTGCCGAAGAGCGTGAAAGGACTCACTTCTTTCACAAATGTCCGTGCTCATTTTCGTAAAATCTGTGATTCAGTTCAACTGCATTATTTTACAAACGCTTCCTACTGTAAATTTAGATGCGGAGTCAACAGAAAAGGTGAAGATGCATTCATACAAAACCAAATGGCATGACCTAAATAATAAATGCGAGATAAGTTATTTTACTTTTTGCCGACCCACGAGATGGCTCGTCTGTATAATTTGTTTATTTCTATAATATAATTTGGTAAAATTGATTTTTTATTGAAATATAAAAAATAATTGATATTAAATATTTCAATTATAAAAATTACATTAGTTGTTATAAAATGTACATTTTTAATGCAAATCCACCAATCTTCTACTATATTTGAAAAAATCTACTGAAATATTATATACTTTCTCATAAATAAAGAAATTAAAGATTATAAAATTGCATAATAATGTACAACTATTCTTAAATAACAATAATCTATTGCAATTATTATATTATTACTCATAAATAGAGATATTAACGAGTGTAAGAACTTAGATGTAAGGAAATTAACGCATCAATAGTAGCAAGTCTTACATAAACATAAATTTATTTCAATAACAATATTATTAAATGATAATATTTGATGGTTTAACGTCAGTGTTTTAACTAATGTTTATAGAAAACATTCGATACGCTAAAAATATTGAATTATCGTAGGCGCTGTCGTCCTCTTTCGAATAGCTGCAGAAAATTAATTTATAAAACGTCGCATTTTGACATTTCGAACGTCGTTTACATACATAACAACGTTGCATAATTGGACGGATGACTCGGAAACATTAAAAATAAAACTTACGAGGAGCTTTCTTTAATCCGAAACCCAAATAAGTTCTCAGAACTGAAAGATCAATCAATATCAATAGAGAGAGAGAGATCTAAAGTTTCAAATTCAATATTTGCATCGTGAGGGCCTTTAGTGTCTCCCATTGCCGAAGATGTCTTCATTGGTGGGATTGTAACCACAACTGCAGACGCCGCTGCTTAGTTTAACGGGGTTCACCGCGTGAAGGTGAGAGTGGTGTTGAGCTGTAAAGCGAAGGCATTGATCTCTTACTCGGTTTACGCTCTATATTCCAAATAGAAAATAACGTAACAATTCAATTTGCTTTGTGTAAACCCCCGTAACAAATAATAAGTACAGGTATGTTATAGTTTTAATATTACAATAACAATGGTAACGAATCAATTTTGCAATCGATACATGTGAAGCAATAATTGGGAAACGATTGCAAATGAATTCGTATACAAATATTATAAAATAACAAATAACAACTATAAAATTGCAGTGTTTGCATGTGAAGTATACCATTTCTTATTTGCTATTACTATAATAAACACGACGTTTGTAAGGATGTAAAAACTAAATGTTTAAGGTACATAAACAACAATAAAGTCAAGGTTGTTAACAAATTTGGATTTTCGTGAACAAAAGAAATATTTTGACACAAAGATTATACGCAAGAAATAAAAGATGTTAATTTCGTATACCTACTTTTCGGGAGGTAAATAATTTTGGATATACTAAATGACAAGTAAATTATAAGCGATGAATGGACCTAAATTAAGTTTTCAACATGCCGCTTGTCAGATGTTTGGAAAAGGGGGTGGAGATTTTCGAGGGAAATGCTTGTTACTGCTTTTCTTCATCTCAGATTGATATTCAAATGTATTTAAATGTAATCTATTATCCTGGCGATGGCTAATCAATAGTTCGATCTGAGGAAGAGGCGTTTAGCATAAAATAGCGATTGTGTTTGCTGATTTTGAGCAAATATTTTAGTTGCTGGGATATTCAAATGAGCGCAGTGATTAGGATCTTGTAAATCAATTTGGATTAATGCCGGCTATAGCGGTGAAGATAGAATTGGAGTGGGGAGGATGAGGATAATGGCATGAGCAAATGGACTTGAAGTGTCTGTCTCTTGTGGATGTGGATATGTGTGTGTGTGTGGATTAACGTGAGCAGTTTTAAATGTATGTAATCCAGTCGCCAAGTTAGTTAGCATCTTCCATAGTCTGCCATATAAAATGTTGCTTTCGTATTCCCCACCACACGCCACCTGATACCCAACCGACCCAAGTCTCTCTAGAACTGGCTCAGCATGTTGCGAGTCAGTCCGCTTGAGTCAATGATTTTGAGCGGTTGAGCGCTCAGTGCAGCCAGCAGCGCAGAGTATACAGGCTACTTAACGGTTCTGAGCTTGGAATTATACCATAAGATCGAAAACTTTGTGATATGTGCCGATTGTGAACCATCCCGGTGTGCGCGGAAAACTACATGTGATACTTTAGCCTAGCAAATTTTGGAATACAAACAAACACTCTTTGATTCGATTGACCGATTGACCAAAAAAGGCACAAACATTCTCAGAAGACTCACGATGTCGTCCGGTGGACAGCAGCGCGGATCCACGGGAAGCGGACACACGCTCAGTAACAGCTTTCTAGGTAATTTGCAAAATCCGTCCTCATCACATTGCATCCAATTGAAGCATTTAAATGAGCGCTATTTTTAAACGGTTGCGAAACCATCCGTATGACTCACACCGCCGAAGAGCGATGTCGAAAGAAAGAAAGAGCAGGTACAACTCGGACAGGTAGCGGCGGCTTACGCAACGCGAGGATTCGAGGTCGAAAGCCGTCTCCTCTCCTGGTCCTCTGACTCCTTCCGAGGATGCTTTAATTGGAGCCGCATAGTTCGTCTTTTACGAGCTCCGAAGTCTTGTCGCTCCCGTCATCCACTACACCTATTAAATCGTCTAATAAATTGCAACCCGCATTCCTCCTCAACCTACATCCGACTCAACACAGACACAACAACCACTCGCATAATTTTATAATTACAGAACCCGTCCAGACCAACAAAAGCACATACAAACACACAGAACCTTATCTAAAACCAATCCATCGCATTGTTTACATCCTCGAGATGGAAACCAGTTAGGTCCTACAAATATTTGTTCTTACTTGAAGAGGAGTTGAAAACAAAAGCAACAGAACCACGTAATATATATGCTGTTATCAAGATCCCAAAGCCCGAGGCTTCTCTTCTCCACTCTCTTATCAGATACCAATGTTTATAATAACGTGGCTTTCGAATGCTGTGCAAATGCAACGATTCGAGCACAGTTTTATTTAATTTATCATCAAGAGATGATTTGTATCTGCAACCTTTTTCTTTCGAACTTTCATCATTAACCCGAATTACCAGAAGATACATAAATCCGTTAAAACCGAAGACTATTTTATCTGCGTATGCAAATGATGTTTATCGGATGGATTCTGTTTGTGGTGGCCGCGCAAGGTCGGAACGTGTCCGAAAAAAGGAAAAGTTCTCTCCTCTAAAACAGTTTTCGTTTCGATTCAGTTGCCGTTCATTTCGAATAACAATTCTTCGATCGCTGATTGCACCACGTTTCTGTGTAATTGCAATCGCCCTTTACTTCTTGACCCAAGCAGATGTTTCTAGCTGTGACCTAAAACTGTTAAATCAATATCGCAATCCACTTTTAGCAGTTTTATGATTTTTATTAAATACTTTATCAATTTTCATTTCGAAAACGATTACTCTTTATTATACTTATTATATTTTCACGATAACTTATGTATATAGTGAATGGAGAATATACTCAATACAACTTCACAATCCGATATCGTAATCTACTTTTGATAAAGAACCACATTCTAATAAAATAACTTGTTCAGTCGTTAAAACTATATTTTGCAAAACTATAATTTCTTTCGTATAAGTTTTTCTACAAGTATTTTATCAAATGAATACACTTTGATGTTAATTAAATTATGAAATGATGAATATGTTAAAAAACCAATTAAATCACTTTCGATGTGTGCATCAACGTCAAGTAGAATGTATGAAATTAAATTTGCACAAATAATGTATTAAACCATATGCTTTATGATAGGTACTTTTGCATGACTGTATAAATATACATGACACCTTGAGATGAACTTTCAGAAATTATAAAGATTATTTTCATAAATTAAACTTATTCACATAAACGGTAAAGTATAAAATGCAATTTGCGCAAATATCATAAAGATTAATGGTATTTTTTTGCAAGATATTTTATGACTATGTAAGTTGAATACACGAATATGAATCAATATAATTTTCGTGACTTTCGAATGTAGCAATTAATGTTACTTTGTTCATTGCTTTTATGTTTAAAATGCTCGCAAGGTATCAATAGTAGGTCGTTTTATTGTATCTGGACCTAGTTTCCAAATGACTTTACAATAAAAACGTAGCATATAAAAGAAGACTTATTCGATCTACATGGTTCCGATTAATGAGAGAGAATGAGAAAATAATAAAAAGGCTAGATTTAAAAGTTCCTTCTGACTTTTTAATGCTCGCTCATAAGATTTACCGCTCTGTGCATTAGTAATAAAATTAAGGTGAATTATCTATGATCGCAGACAGTTTACGATTCGATTCTGATCCGTAGAAGAGTGGCTGGATGATCTTTGAACCCAGAAAACAGTTTCTGGGAAGTTGTTAAGATCGCGTCCGGAGAAATTGATTGCTATTATTACGACTGAAAGGAGCACTTTTTTTTGTGAGTGTGTGTTTCTATGGAAGTGGGGGGATTATATTGTGTGCTCCAGATATGGAGAGCGGACTTGGATGGTGTCGGAAGATAATAATGGATAATGGTAGATAAAAGTGGATTGCTGGTCTCTTTTATCCACGATCTACCGTTCATCGAGGATAAAGATCCGAAACGGTCCCCTTCTAATTTCAACAATCAAATAATCCGTGGCCAAGAGAGCGACTCTATTTTTGAGGACGCGTCGCGACGCCGCATCTATTTCCGCGCCGGAATCTTAATCTCGCTGGAATCCAGCCGAGGGGGAACACAGAAATATATCCATCTATATGTGCCAGTTACGAAATCTTTTGTGCGTGCAATGGATAAGGCCATCGGATAACGACTCCTCCTCGGCCTTTCCGCTCTTCTAACGACGACGACTCCAACATCATCATCATCATCAGGTTGATGATGATGGAACGACCGAGATTCTTTGAATTTTCCGCCCCGAGGTTTTGTCTTAATTGCAAAGTTCTTTGCGCCTCTAAATCAACCTCTTATGTTCATAATATTGCTGCGTTCACTCAGCGTAATCCGATCGACGCCTTTAAAACCCAAACAAGTCTTGAAATACAATCCTCCCTGTTTCCTCCACCTTCCTCTAATTGATATTCGAACCCAGTGAGAATTCTCATAGTAAAATCAACAAATACACCTTATTTTATGACTACCTGAAATATGCGGGGAAAAAACTATAAGAATGTAGCTGATTCACATGGAACATTTGCGACCTTGCGTAGGTTGCATAAAAAATGTATTTACAGTTAAATCATGTAATTTATAATTATTTATAAACCAACGTGTAAAACATTTGAAGCTTGATACAACAATATTTATGACGAAATAAAAAATTTATACCTTTTATGGTCACGCAATTATTTTCAAAGTTAAAAACGTTTGAAGCTTGCAATATCAATATTTATGTAAAAAATCATGCTGTATACCATTTAAGGTCTCGAATAAGTTTATTGCAAGAAACTTTCATCAAAGTAAAATTACAACATTGATCTTAGAATTGTATCTTTGGTAATGTAACAAACAATTTAGATGTTGAAAGCAGTGATATGCAATCTAATACTGTCGACCGTACCAATTTTTCTCATATTAATAAGGCACTCTATCTGACATACCATTCTAGACCTCATTAAATTGAGAATCAAGGTTATTGGAGTTATAGCAACCTTATTAAGAAGTATAGAAAAGAAAATCATTTACGCATCTACTTGTTGAAAAGAAAAATATAGTAAGTGATAAATAAACTTAACTTTAAATATCAATTAAATTTTGCAAATAAATACTTTTATAACTTATCACATTACAATTCAGTATAAAAAAATATATAAATTGCTTGTAATTATATTTAACTTTAACAGGCTATAATATATTTTATAAGTGTCATAAAAGTAGCGTTACCGTTTTGTTTTACTACTTTTTTTTTCTTTTGAGGTTATGTAAACTTCCGTTTGACTACGTAGTGTAAAACATTCAATTTTATTATGATAAAAACTTCTTAACAGATCGAATTCTGCAAACGCAACAAAAAAAAACAATTATTTACTGCAGCATATACAATACGTGATTTGAAATATAAATGTAAACTAAATAAAACTAATAAAGTATATTTATTATTATTTTTACAAATAGTAGTAATGTCCAAATGACAGTTTATGTGTCATTGAATTTCATGAAAGCTAAAGACTGTCAACATAAAACGCATAGTTTCTGGTAGTTGTTGGAAACATTATATTGTATCTTATAATATTGTGGAGTTTTTCAAATGACCGTTGAGTTTGTGAAGGTTGATATGATGTTATTTAAATTATTCAAGTTATGCATGGAAAATATGTGAAGACAACATCACTGAAAGTCCAGACACGAACTAGTTTTTTCAATTTGTTAGGTATACAATTTCATAATTGATTGCTATTTGAAAGGTAATTTATGTTCAGTCAATTATAAAGTATGTGTATATAAATACTTTTTTTTTTCTTAATCAATATCGAAATCAGGATCAGGTCAAGTTGTCAATGAATATTTATTAAAGAGCGCTGAGCAACGAATAAAAACTTGATTGATTGTCGTGCTGATCGAAGCAAAAGCTCGAGCAATTGAAGCATCGAATAATAGCAAACAATGAGTAAATTGAATGATCATCAACACCAAAGTGGATTCAATTCGAATGTTTACCACGCGATCCGATAAGTTCATCCGATATAAAGAATCCGCTGGTATCGCCTCTAGTTTTGACTGACCTTTACCACTCGTAGCCTACATACGGACACATCGCGTTTCCTATAATCCATTCGAAACGCGACTCTCCAATTAATGCTCTCCATTATTTCGTAACGCAACGAACGACAAACCCTTGCACATATCCATCTCTAACGCGAAACCCATGTAAGCGGCCGTTGCGTAACGCGAAACAAGAGATTTCCCTGGTGCAGGTGTTCGGAATTAATATGCAAATTGGCCGAACGAATTCCACTCTCCTCCACTTGGGGATTTCGGTTTCATTGTGTGTGATGGTGAACACCGTTTACTTTCCACAAATGCGGGGCCTCTCCAATGAAACAAGTTACAAAACAACTGTGACAACAGGGGCCGGATAATATTCGTTTCGGAAGCTCCTTTCGAGTGGTTTTCTTCTTGCTTCTCCTCCTGCTCTCGGCCAACTACAGAGCTCTGACCTCGATATTTCCACTCACCTGCATGAGAATATTACTCCGTGCACTTTGATTGTGTGTGTGTGTGCACAGTTACAAGACGAGAACAAGAAATCAAAAGGGGGAATTAGATCGACTTGCATAATTTCCAATTCCTTTTACTCCACGGACG